CTATCAATGGTCAAAAATTAATCCCACCATTTCTCTCCTAAATATATCCCCTTTGCTGTCTTTAATACCAATACCAGTTTCATTTTCAACTATTTTCTCTTACTTTTCCTACTGACAACCCAATCTAGTGCTAAATTCTGTTTCCCAATTCTACTCCTAGTTCAGTTTTTATAGCCAGAGCCATATTTTTCACATAAATTGTCTGTCTCTAATATTCTATATTAGAGCATTAAAAAACAAACATTTGTCTTATAAGCTACTTTTATTTCAATATTTTCCCCAGAATTGTTAATGGTTGTCAGTTGTCTCTTCTTTTAAATTTTTATTTAGAAAAAATTTCAAACTTAAAAGTTTCAAGAATAGCTCATCGATTGAACTCTCATATACATTTCACCTAGACTCACCAACTAACATTTGGATACGTTTTCTTTTTTTCCCCTTCTTCTCTACACGCCCATACATATATTTTTGCTAACCAATATGAGAGTAAGTTGCAGATGTCAGGACCTTTTACTCCTAAAACTTCCGCATGTATTTCCCAAAATAGGAACATTCTCTTATATAACTATACTACAAGTATCAAATTCAGATAATTTAACATTAGTACAATACTACCAATATTTAATACAGCCTATATTTAAACATCACCAAATATCCCAATAATGTCATTTATATTAAAAAAATTTTTTTCTAATCAAATATTCAATCCATGACTACCCTGTGCTTTAGCTGTCATGTCTCTTTAGGATCCTTTCATCTGGAAAGTTCCTCAGCCTTTGTCTTTTAAGCTCTACTGACTTTGTTAGCTTTGGGGCAATACCTGGAAAAATTATCATAATTTTATAGCCTAGTGCTTAAAGTAATCCAAGAAAAAGTTGAAATTTCAATGATTACTCATTTAACTAAACCACTTACCCAAAAAGGAAGGATGGACAACATCTGCTGCATCTTTTTCTAGTCTTAGGAGTTCAATTTCCAGGTTTTTCTACATTAGAAACAAAAAAACACTTAGCTCATGCAGAAAGTAGCCTGAAGTAAAGGCTTTGATAAAAATGGTCTTTAACTTAGGAATATTTAAGGGGACCAGGAGGATGACTTGTTATGAGAGCCCAGGGATTTACTGAATCTTTTCATTTTGGTGTTCGAGCCCTGTTGCTGCTACTGCTACTACTCCTAACTACTACTATGACCATTACTACTATTATTAACTACTGCAAAGAAAAGCCTATACGACTATGCGCTAGACACTGTTCTGCGTGCAAGAGGATTACTGTTGGAGCCAGTTAAGATTTTTTTCCATACTAGAGGTAGAAAGTAAAAACTCCCAACATAACTTACCTGGTAGATTTCAGCTTGAATATCTGTGATCTGCTGTAGTCTGGAGAAGTTCACAAAGCAAGAAGTTGATTTCTTAGATATATTTAACATCTCCTATTGGTAAGTGAACAGAGAAAGCAGCAATATGTCAGAGTTTATGTGTGTGTTGGAATAGCATGGCCACGTGTCTAAAATATGAGGATATATTATGTCCAACGCTGCCCCTGAAAAATGAAATACAGAGTAGGACAGTGCAATGTATATTTCCTGTTTTTTAAAACCTGCACCATCACAAGTCTTTTGCCCAAATATTAATATTTTAAAAATAAGAAAAACAAAGAAGAAAATCACTTTGTACTATTTCTTAAGGCATCATGCACAATAGACTGGCATTGCTGATAGCTTACCAAAAAATTCTAAAGTTGAAATTGTTGGAGAATCACTTCTACACAAATGACCTAGTCTCTCAGACCTTCCTGGGGCTAAAATTAAACACTTCCTGGGCTATGGAATCATTCACCTGGTTCATTAAATGACCTCTATTGGTTACAAGTCATTCATACTGTCTCTTTCTGCATTCTCCCTCTCTTAGATAAAGGAATGTTTTGTCCAGGCATAATTATTCCTTGAAAAAGCCTACCCCCCACCTCCTTTTTATCCTTTCATTCTATATTATACTGCTTTCTTAAATTGCAGGTTATCTCAGAATAAGAATATTATCTTGTTCATCCCTTGGCTTCATCTATAATTTTTTCTATCCTCTTTTTCTTCTCTAAAATGTTAGCACAGGACAGAACTTCAGATATCATATAGGCCAGGGATTGCGAAGCTACAGCCTATGAACTAAATGCACCCAGTGCCTGTTTTTGTATAGCTTAAGGGCTAAGAATGGTTTTTATATTTCTTAATTGTTGGAGAAAAAAAATCAAAAGAAAAACATTGTGACACATGAAAATTATATGAAATTCAAATTTCAGGGTCCAGAAATAAAGTTTTATTCAAATTCAACTTCACTCATTCATTTACTTATTATCTCATGTTGTTTTCATACTACAACAGCCTAGTTGCGACCCTATGGACCTAAAAGCCTCAAATACTTATGCTCTGGCCCTTCATAGCAAATGTTTGCTGACTGATGATAATCAATTTTATAACATTTATTGAGTTAGGCAATAGAATATTCAGGGATGAACGAAACAAGCTCTCTGCCCTTAACAAGCTCATGATGGATGGGAAGGAAAAGGTATTCCAGACAAAAAGAACTAAACATTATAAATGCTCAGTAACTGGGACTTCCCTGGTGGTCCAGTGGGTAAGACTTCGTGCTCCCAATGCAGGGGGCCTGGGTTTGATCCCTGGTCAGGGAACTAGATCCCGCATGCATGCCACAACTAAGAGTTTGCATGCCTCAACTAAAGATCCCGTATGCTGCAACTAAGACCCAAGGGAGCCTAAATAAATAAATATTTTTTAAAAAAAAGAACAAAGCTGAAACAAACAACATTTTCTATAAGAGTTGTATCATATCACATCACAATTTTAAGCATTACTCAATTTTTAATTCACATGGGAGGATGTGCACTTAAGGGATGGACTGCTTAAAGGGATCACATAACACATCATTTTGAAAGAATCAATGACAAATCCTTGTAATAAAAATAGGTTTTTTATATGTAAAGTTTGCTTAAAGTAAAATCATGCTACAAATCTTCAAAGTTTCCTCACTGGGCCTAGCTGTGCAGTAAGATTATAAGAAGGTCTTTTCAAAAAACATTTATTTACTTATTTATTTGTTTATGGCTGCATTGGGTCTTTGTTGCTGTGCACGGGCTTTCTCTAGTTGCGGCGAGCGGGGTCTACTCTTCGATGGGGTGTGTGGGCTTCTCATTGCTCTGGCTTCTCTTGTTGTGAAGCATGGGCTCTAGGTGCACGGGCTTTAGTAGTTGTGGCACCTGGGCTCAGTAGTTGTGGCTCACGGGCTTAGGTGCTCCATGGCATGTGGGATCTTCCCAGACCAGGGGTCGAACCCGTGTCCCCTGCATTGGCAGGCGGATTCTTAACCACTGCACCACCAAGGAAGTCCCTATAACAAGGTCTTACGGAGCTATGGATTGGCAAAACAGGTATCTGTCTAATTAGTGTTACTTGAAGGACCCTATGAAGATCGTCCCAAAGACAACCTGCAGCCCAATTCTCAGTCCCAAATGTCTTATAGTATGAATTTACCAAATTACTTTGTTACAGAACTGGACAATACAGGTGAGAGCACTAGGTAATCTGGTAGCAAGAAAACACAGGAGAGAAGTGAGGAAGGTGAGAACTGGGGAGTGCTGTGGTTATGTTTTGCCTATTTTCCAACGCATTCATTCCTACCCCTCGTTTCCCCCCAAATCCATAAGGTCTGGCTACTAGGTCTTCAAGTAATCTAGAAAAGTCCTTCAACAGACGTTTAAACTCTTTCAAGATAGTGTTACAGTATCTATCATCTATTACAGTTCATTTTAGAGATGATATGTGTCAGAAAAGGGAGGGCTCTGGGATCTAACTCTACTTCACTAGTTGAGTCGCCCTGGACAGGTTTCTTGGTCTCCTCAGGTCTTAGTTTCTGCATCTTAAAATTACTGTAAGTAGATAGTAGAATTCTCTAATGACTCTTCTAGGTATAAAAAGTTGTCTATTTTTCATAAATCTTTCATCATGTGCATGGTGCTAATCTCTGTAGATGGTTTTACCGTTTCTATTTTTCTCAGTTGCCTTTTTGGTGAAATTCCTCAACTTCCTCATTGTCTCAAATTTTCTTTCCCTTCTCTCAACCTTCTCCCATTCCCTTGTCACATCTGCCATTTCTATTCCATTATTCCCTCACATCTTCAATTTCTCCCTCTGTTGGCGTGTTCCCTTTGGCCTATGAACATGCTCTTCCCGCCGAACCTAAAACTACCACCCCTTGGCTAATCTCCCTCTTCTCTCCTTCTCAAAATTAATTCCTTCCTCCAATCATGTTCCAAGGTCTCTCGGGTCTTTTTCACCAATGTTTTTTTGGTCCCCCCCCCCGGCCTTTAAAGATGCGTGCTTCCCTTGGCGCTCTCCTGTACCCGACGCCTCCCGTAATGCTTCAATATTTCACACAAACGAGCGTTCTTTGGGAACGTATGTTTTAACCACCTACCCGTTATTTCCTAACCCCGCCACCGATTACAATCTAGAGGCGGTATCATTGGATGAAAAAAGGCGGGTAACACTAGTCTTTATTACCGCCCAAGAACTGACCTGGGATAACTCGCCTGCCAGACACTTGAAACACCATCTCCTTAGAGCCCCGCTTTTGCAGAGCCCACCGCGGACCAGTCACTTCTGCTACCTACAAGGAGCTCCATCGGCCCCGACTCTAGAACAGCCCGCAGCCAGCACCCTCCCACCCACTCCCGCAGCCAGCACCACCACCTCACAGCTATCTTCTGTCGCCACCGTGGGCACCCCCTTAATGACACCATCGCCCCCCACGCACCTGAGTAACCAACCCCGAAGCTACGAAATGTCCCAGCAGTAGTCCCGCAGCCTTTGGCTCGGACGCCGGGACCCAAGGGTTCGCCTCAGCCATGGCTGGCAGCCGACTTTCCGGGTGGCGCGGAGAGTGAGCGGAACGCACGGCGCGGCTCGATGACGTCACAGGGCGTTTCCGCCCCGGCGGAAGCCTAGGGAGCGCATCTCAGGCGAGCGCGAGTCCCGGGTCCACCCCTGCGGAGCCGGCTGAAAGCTGAGGGGTAGGAGGCGAGTTCGGGGATCCCTGATCCTCTGTAGGCTCCTAGCGGCGTCTAGCCTTGGAACAGCTGCAAAAGCGGCGGGGCCTGGTGTTCTTCCCTTTCTTCCTTGCCACTCTTGAGCTGGCCCCCAAGATCCAGGGATCGGCAGGAGGTGACATCTGGAGCTTGAGACCTAGCCGGGAGGCCGACGGGGTGGCTGGGTGCAGGGCCGAGTGGTGACAGCTGCTCTTCCTTCCCGCAGAGACCCGAGCCTTGGCGCTAGGATGGGAAACAGTGCCCTCCGCGCTCATGTGGAAACCGCGCAGAAAACTGGTGTCTTTCAGCTTAAGGACCGTGGGCTGACCGAGGTGAGACTGGGAGGGATCCGACCAAGGGAATTTAAAGGGAGAGGGACGGCGGGCGGTGAAGTTAATAGGTAAGGGATTCTCCGCGCTGAGAGCCCCTTTCTTCAGTTCCCCTCAGAGTTGCAGAAGCTGACAAGCAATCTCAGGACCATCGACTTGTCCAACAACAAGATCGAGAGTCTACCGCCTATGATTATAGGGAAGTTCACTCTGCTGAAGAGCCTGTCCTTGAACAACAACAAACTGAGTATGGCTTTTGCGCCTGGGAATTTTGCTAGTTATCAGCTGTTAAGAAGGGTGGTTTTTCTCTTGGAATAGAGTGTGGAGTACGATTATAATGTTATTAAACTGGTTTTCAAATAAATGTATCAGAATCTTAAAAAAGAAAAAGAAGGGTGTTTTCTTTTTCTTACAAGCTGATTTTTGTTGTTATGAAACTGTTCAGGAGCTCAAGATGCAGAAGAATGTCAGAGTCCTTGAAGCTTTCTATCTCTTGTAATTACATATATAAGCCTCCTCTCCTGGTGTAATGATTGGTAGGAGGTTAATTTGGATTTGAAAGGGACCATCTTTGGGGTGTAATGTAAGCAGAGCTAACTTTGCTGCTAATTTGGAAGGGCGGATGGGATGGGAAGGAGAGGGCCTTCCAAATCCCACACAATTGCTGTGGGATTGTGCAGTGGCCCCTTCACAGAAGGAGCCTATTATACACATAATGCTTTCCTGAATTTTGATGGCACCCTCACCTTCTGAAGACGATGTTGGTAAAAATGCAATACTTAAAAATGGCACAACATGTGAAATGCCTATGTATATTAACAAGAGGCATAACAGACTGCCATACAGTTTTTATAAACTTCATCAAAGGTGTTTTTCAGCTGTATTGGATTCAGGTTTTTAAATTTTTCTTTGCCAGCTGTCCTTCCTGATGAGTTATGCAATCTGAAAAAACTAGAGACACTAAGCCTAAACAACAATCACTTGAGAGAGCTGCCATCTACTTTTGGGCAACTATCTGCCCTTAAGACCCTGAGCCTCTCTGGGAACCAGCTGAGAGCACTACCATCCCAACTTTGTAACCTACGGCACCTGGATGTAGTGGATCTCTCCAAGAACCAAATTCGGAGCATACCTGACACAGTGCAGGAGCTGCAGGTCATCGAACTCAACCTCAACCAGAACCAGGTCTAGAGCTTAAGGGTTTTTTTCTACAGCATGTATGTGGGTTTACGGTCTCCTGAATAAACAATTGTTCTCTAAACTGTAATCATGGAGAGGGGTATCAGAGGCTAGAAGAGAGGTATATTCTATGGGCTGGACTAATTACAAAGCCCAAAGTGCCGTGAAGTTAGTTGAGACACTGGGTGTGTTTGTTGTGTAGGTGTTTTTTGGAGGGTAGGATGGGTAACATGGTGAGGCAATTTCAAAAGTTAAACCTCTGTTTCACAAACCGTGAGTTCTTCAGATCATCCTCAAATATACCTCTAATCATCTAGCAAGGAGCTATGTCAGGAAGATAGAGTGGAAAAGAGGCTTAAACTCATATGTTCTCAGAGTTGGACATCAGAGTTCATTCAGTTGTCCTTTTGCTGACATCTTTGTCAAGTGTGTGTCCTGCTTTTGCGGAAAAACCATCAGTGGTAGGATTTTTGGAGATTGTTGGACAGCTTTAATTGCAGTATTTGAAATTTATTTCCATAACTTCAGAAACTCTTTGGTTAACACATATCTGACTGGAGAAACAATCTTTGGTCTAGACATAAGGCACAAATGATGAAACACTGATCATAGTGAGACTGGGTAGTCTTTAGTTTTTCTAGTGTCTATGCTTTTAGATCTGCAGAGTCCATTACAGTAGCCACTAGCCACATGGCCATTAAAATTCATTTAAATTAGACTTAAAAATTCAGTTCCTCGGTTGCACTAGCCATATTTCAAGTATGGCTCAATACAGCCATAGGTGGCTAGTGGCTACCATATTGGACAGCACAGATATAGAACATTCCACTAGTTGCAATAAGTTTTATTGGACAAAACTGTTCTAGAATGTCCTGACCTTACGTTATGATGAAATTCAGTCAGTCTTGGATGAGATTGGCTTTATCTTTTCCTTAAAGTGGATATTCTTGTATGTTCTTGAGCTTTTTGGAAAAAAATTCTGAATATTTGGGGAAAAATATTGGAAAAAACTTGTTAAGCAAATTGAGCACTTGCTCCACATTCACCTATGCTGCCTTAAATCAATGGTTCTCAGGTTTTAGTGTGCATCAGAGTAACCCGGAGAGCTGGTTAAGAGATCACTGGGCTCCACACTCATTGTTTCTGATTTTGTAGGTCTGGGGTAGGGTCTGAGAATTTGCAGTTTTAACAAGGTCCAGGTGATGGTCTGAGATGATACCAGGCATAGTAAATATAACTAGGTGGCTTGGAGCATTTAAAGGGCAGAAGAGCTGAATGAATCAAAGATAACTGCTTGGTATTGAGCTCAAGAGCCTAAAAGAAGAGTGGTGCTATTGGGAATGGGCATGCTGAGTGGGTTATGATGGTGAAACATCCAATGTGTTTTACTAAAAATCAGAGGCATAGGAGTGGAATAGAGGTGGGCAGAAATGAATGTAGATAGATAGCTTAAAAGAAGTGATAGCTTTAAGAATGAATGAGGGCTTCCCTGGTGGCACAGTGGTTGAGAGTCCGCCTGCCGATGCAGGGGACACGAGTTCGTGCCCCGGTCTGGGAAGATCCCTCATGCCGTGGAGCGGCTGGGCCCGTGAGCCATGGCCGCTGAGCCTGCGCGTCCGGAGCCTGTGCTCCGCAACGGGAGAGGCCACAACAGTGAGAGGCCCGCGTACCGCAAAAAAGAAAAAAAAAGAATGAATGAGCTTTCTAGGAGAAAGTTTAGAAAGATTGAATATTAAGTATTAGGGACTGCTGCTTGAAAAATGTCCATACAAACAAGAAGGGAAGCCAAAAATCAGGAATAATTCAAAAGATAGGAAGAAAAACACAGCACTTAGGTACAAGAAGTGGGAGTTTCAAGAAAGGGATAGCACAGTCAAATGCAACAGGGAATGAGGGCAACGAATCCTTGACTTTGGCAGTAAAGTGGTTGGCATCTATGTACACGTAAAAGATTGGCAGTAATTGTACCAAAATGTTTACAGTGATGGATTACAGGTAACTTTTTTCTCTAACCTTGTATGATTCTCAAATTTTCTATAATGAACAGTGCTTTTATTATCAGAAAAATTTGTTTCCAAAAAGCCACTGGTGACCTTCAAAAAAGATTTTTTTTCCCCAAAAAAGTGTAGTAGTAACAGAAGCTGGATAACACAAGAGGCTTCTGGAGTGAGTGGGTAGTGAGAAAATGGAGGTGGTAGAAGAAAGAACTAGGACAAATATTCAAGTAAAGATTTTTTAATTTAGTAAAAAATAATCATTACAGTGCTTATACTTTTTCCTATTATCCCTTTTATAAATTGTTCAATAGATAGCTCAGATCTCAGTGAAGATATCTTGCTGTCCTCGCCTTAAAGTTCTTCGTTTGGAGGAGAATTGTCTTGAGCTCAGTATGCTTCCACAGAGCATCCTCAGTGATTCCCAGATCTGTCTGCTTGCTGTAGAAGGCAACCTTTTTGAAATAAAGAAACTTCGAGAACTGGAAGGCTATGATAAGGTATGTATTAGTGTACTTCTGAATTTCTAGTCACTGCTCCAGAGAAGAGAAAGGTGAAGTAACTCACACGAGTGTTTCTAGGTACGGGACGTATGTATAATCCGTTTATGTCAATAAGGATTTGTTCTCCATTTTGGAGGTGGGTTCTGAGAATCAGCCAAATGGTATTGTGCCAAGATGATATTTTTCTCTAGACAGCTTATTGTAAAGCATCTTTTTCTTTTGATAGGTGTCCTATTAAGATATAAAGGAAAGAAAAAAAACACCCCACAAAACCATGTGCTTTAAATTTGCATCTAGAATAGGTAGATTTTGTAGGAAATGAAGGACCATAAAAACATAAAGGATGGGCTTCCCTGGTGGTGCAGTGGTTGAGAGTCCACCTGCCGATGCAGGGGACACGGGTTCGTGCCCCGGTCCGGGAAGATCCCACATGCCGCGGAACGGCTGGGCCCGTGAGCCATGGCCGCTGGGCCTGCGCGTCCAGAGCCTGTGCTCCGCAACAGGAGAGGCCACAACAGTGAGAGGCCCGCGTACCGGAAAAAAAAAAAAAAAAAAAATCATAAAATCCTAAATAACCAATAAGTTAGTTATTTGCTCAGGGAAAAATAACACATGTATTCTTTCATGATTTTCAGTACATGGAGAGGTTCACAGCCACCAAGAAGAAGTTTGCATGATGTTCTCCAGGAGCATGTGAACCATACAGGACACTGACTTGGAACCTGTTGCAATCTGGCTGAATGAAAGGCTCCTGTTGTTGTCAAGGATATCTGCAGTGAGGACATGATATTCCAGGAGGTTATATTTCACTCAATCTTTTTCCTTTCCAGGGCTCATCTCAAATAAGCTAAAGGGAATCAAACACAGGAAGACTCTTCTATTTTGAGTCATGGATAGGGCAAAGGACAATGTTGATCTTTGAAACCATCATTTGTTGGGCTTTGAGAAACCCAGTAGCTAGTTGCTATGTATACAGTGAGGGGATGCTGCCTGGTACCAGAATAGCTCCACACAACAGCTTGAAATTTCATGTGTCTCAATGTGCGAGCTTTCAGAAAATCATTTGCCATTCCACCCTGTGTTGACACTTCATATTTTTATGAAATTCTAATAATTCATGAGAGGCTGCTATGGTTAATCTAAGGATTTATGATTTTACTCCAGTCCATTAGTTCAATTGCAATGTTTATACTTGGAATTTAGGATGTACATAAAGGTATGGCTCTTGATTAAAAGTGTACTTTGTCAGAGAAGCAACAACACAACACTAAGAGGTGTTCCCAAGGCTGCAGTAGCAATTTTTTTTTTTTTTACTATTGCAGGTGCCTTATTGATAGAGGGCTCTGAAGAGCTAAAACTGTATGCAAAACTTGTAAGATACAAGGGTTTTAATAATCAAGATTTTCCTGAAGCTTTGTTAGAAACGGTCTCTTATTTCTGGTCATCTTTTTGTATTTAGAACTCTAATAATCAAATTACCTATCAAAAAGCTACTGTTACAGTATTTTACAACAACTTATGTTTATCAAATTTATTCTCTGAATGAGAGAATATACTAAAGATTTTTTAATAACTATGGCTGGAAGAAAGGTTAATCCTTTAAAGTAAGACGACAGGGGAACTTTAACCTGTAAATGGCCTTTTGTTTGAAAGTAAACTGATAAGAAATGTTTTATGTTCTTGTTCGGGTTGCAAGAGTACTGAAATGCCTTCGTGTGACTTATAAACATTTTGTGGTACTGGAAACCATGCTTATTAAGAGAAACTGAAGCTATAAAAGTAGATTTTTTCAGACTGTTACTGGCATGAACATTTAGAAAGCTACAACTCTGCTGTTTTCTGATGTTTTGTCTTAGCCAAGGGGCTGTCATTTACCATGTACTGTTAGTTCTCATTTTACAAACCTAGTTTAACCATTACGTCAGATCACAAGAGCCTAGTGTTTATATGAGGAAAGTCTCTCTGACCTTAAATCTGGTCTAGGGGTTCTCTTTTTCCCATGTTATTCTCTGTTTCTCAACTGGGGAGGGATGGGGGTGCCAGTTTACATTACCAATTGAGTTTTGTTTTTTATAAACTTTGTTTAATGCTTAATCTTATTGATCTACTGAACATTTCTCTATTTTATCAGTACTTATCTAATAAATCAGAACTTATAAATTAAATAACTTAAATGTCCCAAGACATTTATTAATGGGAGTTTTAAAAATCCCTACCCTTATGAGAATCCCGTTTTGATGGCTAACTTTCACAACTTGGACCCAGCCTTGTTTCCAGATACCCTCTCTTCACTCTCATTCACTTGCCCAGTCTTACCAGGTTATTCTGCTCCTTAAACCCACAGTGCAACATCTGTCTCCTTTAACTGTCTTTACATTGTTTGTTCAGTCAGAATGCCCTCTCTTACTAACACGCTCCTTTTCTAAGTCTAAGCCCCTTCCTGAGAAGTCTAAGCCGAATTAACTGCTCCATCTGTTACGGCAGCATTTCTCACATTCTGTATTCATCTGCCTGTTGCTAGACTGAGCTACTTGAGGGCAGGGATTAAGTAAAGTAATATGCCCAAAGATATAGTACACAAGTATTTAGACTTAAATATGAGCTAATAAAGTGGGTTGACTTGAGGTCTGGAGACTGAGATTCTAAATCACCTACCTTCTTTTAGAGCTTGGTTAGAAGTCAGTGTAGTATACTGAGTAAGAACATGGGCCTTGGAGTCAGAAAGATCCTGATTTGAATCCAAAGTCTATCATTTACTAGCTTTATGAATTTGAGCAACTTACTCTCATCCATAATATTGGGAAACACCTCCTACCTCTCATGTATGTTATGAGGATTTGGTGAAAAGATACATAAAAGCATTTAGAATGGTGCCTATGACAGAGTAAGCGCTCAATAAATGGTGCTATTTATTTTACCTGTAAAACATTAAAATAGAATTTAGCAAGTTGTACAGAAATGGAAGGCTTGGAGCAAACTCTACATTAGGATGAAAAACAAATGAGTAGAGAATAAGGAACCTGAATATCAACCTGAGAACTATAAGTATGCTTAGGAATGTAACTGGGATAACTTAGGATTTTAGTAAGGGAGTAACCTAAAGAATAGCGTTTAAAGAAACTAATTCTAAGAGCAATTGAGTATAGGATGTCTGGGAAGTAGAAGTTTAAGTTAAGGGGAGATTCCTAATCCATACATGACATGAAAAGATCTAGAGTTGAAATGTGGTAAACAAAGGATGAATTAAAACTGTGAAAGAAGAAAAAAACAGGCACAACTATAGGGGATAAAGATCACTGTCATTATAAGACCAGAAACCTGAAGAGGGAGCTTATTGTTAAAAAAAAATTAAGTTCAGTGGAGAATAATGTTTAACTCCTTAATTATAGGTCAGTTTTATGCTCAAGTTCACAAAACTAGTAAATGATTAAACCAAAACTTGAACACAGTTGGTCAGACTCCAGAGCTTGTGCTAACCACCTCAGTCACTACCTTTCAAAAGTAATAGAAACAAGTTTCCAGACAGTGTCACAGGAGAAGACTTTTAAGTCAACAGCTTCTATTTCTAGTGTATTATGAGCCTAAGTTCTAGGTCCTCATTCCTCTTTTCTCAGTAGCAGAAGCTTTGAAAAAATATGTAACCTGGGATCCATGGATGGGCTTTCAAGACCCATTTATGCATGATTCACGTGTGTGTGTTTGTGTGTCTGTTTCTCTGGAGAGATAGGCTGTGTTGTCTTTCACCAAATTCACGAACAGATCCTTGACCCAAAAAGAGCTCCACTCTAGAGAGAATAGCAGCTATCATTTAATAAGCTCTTACGTTTGCTGGGCACTGCTCTAAGTGCTTTACATGCATTACCACATTAAGTCTTCGCAGCAACTCTCTGAGGTAGGAATCATTAATCCCACTTTACGCACAAGGAAACTGAGGCACAGAAATGGTTTTATAGTCACTCAGCCAGCAAGTGGCAGAGCTAGAGTGTAAATCCAGACAATATGGTGCCTTAGCTCACACTTCTAACCAATTATACTGTTGGAACAGCATACTGGTATCTTTAGAACTATTTCCTTCAGCCATAATAGTGTTAAAAAAATTTTTTTTAACGCTTTTAGGAAGGATATTTAAGTATAGAACAGCCCCCAGTGTTTTATACCTTCTTATTATACACACACATTTACTACCACCTGCCAAACTACTCCTTTTTGGTATGTGGCATTTCTATTACTGAGGGCCTAATTAAATCTCACTATAAATATTTTCCTTTTCAGCCTTTGAAAGTTCCCATGTTAACTCTATCTCCTCCAGTAAGTGCGTTGCAGTTTTCACTCATAAACACTTTTAGTCGCTAGTGTATTATAAGCTCAAATGAATAAAACAACTAGTAATGATTAAAATGAACCTCATGACAAATCATAGCAATGAAAAGTCCTATATTTCCAATGAAAATGGGAAAGGTGCTAATAAAGTCAGGTGTTTGTTGGAGTGCCTTTTGATTTATGGATCTTTGCTCTATTCAGTTTGTCAAATAAGAGCTGACAAAATTATTGCTTTCCACCCCCCAAAAAGTACTCACAGAAGCACATCACTTATTTGAAAAAACAGTTCCATTAGTTAGTTACAAAATTTAATTGTAAGGATCAAACAGTGGTTATTGGTCAAACCAATCGACATTAATAGCTCTGAAGTGTGCAGAAGCTAGTTTTTAAATAAAAGTGACAAATACCAATCAGATTCTTATAACACTGTTCAGGATCTAAGCAAATGTGATTCTGGAAGTTGAATCCAAAAAGCTAAGAGAATCATAGTGCAATCATCAATAAGTAAACCAAAGACATAATTTTCTAAATCATTTTTAAACAGAATAAATTCTAGTTTTTAAAAAAGTTTAAAGCTACATAAAACTCAAAGCAATCTAACTATTTTCTACCTGAGATCAAAACAAGTGTCTTTTTTCCTATCTAAACAATTCTTGGCATTGAGGTAAATCTGAATTCACGTGATATACTTTGTCAAACTTTTCCAAAAAATTTTAAGCCCTGCTGTAGAGAGAAATTCTCATAATATATATACATATTTACATATTTTTTCTTTAAAGACTAATGACAAATTTATGAGGTTAATAGGCCTGTAATGGGACCATGATACTATTAATAATATGAAAATAAAAAGCCATTCATTTATACCATGTGTTCCTATATGGTGCAATATGAAATGGGATCATAGAATCTATGTACATAGATGAACCACCAAGAGTTCAGAAATTAAGCTCACTTTAAGAAAACTCATTCTGTTTTTTGAAGCAGAGGTTGCAAAGTTGTGATGTATAACAAAAATATTGTGTATACAGGCTCCAAAACCAAGCATTGGCCTCAACTGGCAAAAACTGCAACTTAAACAGAAATTAAACCCAACTAGATCTTCACTGTGGTTATGCAACTTTTGGCTTTAGGGTCTGCAGGTTTTACTGAGGTAACAACCTCTTACCTCTCCTCCTTGTGCCTGCCCCTACTGCCCCCAGCCTTTTACATGGCTGTCTTTGGCAATGCTTCCAAAGTTTCAAAGCAGAAGAACTTGCTAAGTAAATGGAGAGAATGAAAAATAACATTATATATGATGTATGAAAACCAACCTAAGCGTATGGACTGAGAAAGAAAGTACTAGAAGGAAAACTAAGCCGCAGTCTACCCTCAAGGGAAAAAGAGAAAATAAAAGAATAGGGGGGCTGTTACTCTTAGATCTTCTTCCACATCATCTCCCGATTAGAAGAGTGTGGAACCAAAATTTCAAACTCTGGAAAGGTAATGACTTTGAAGGAGGAGCTAGGGAAGTGAATAAATGATAAAGAAGTACAGCAGTAGCTTTAGCTGTCAATGAGTTTCTTTGCTCTGGCATTGGCATTGTCAATACGATCTTTGTTGGTGTCAGCCTGGAAAAAAGAAAAATATACCAGCATTACTTCACAAGGTAAGCTGCTCTAATAAACGTTAAATTTCATGTACTTAGAGTAACTGACACATTGAGAAAATTCAGGAAATAGTCCAAGCCACATTACAAAACTCATTTTGGGCAAGAAGTGACAGAATATCAAATTCATTTGGAAAAACCTGGGTGTATAAACATGACAAAGATATAACAGAAGAAGTTGCCAGTATTTCATGAGTACTATAACATTTTTTTTCATAGTTTAACATGTCTGAAACTAGGATGCATCTTATAATCAATGGCATGTAGATGCAGTGAAAATATAATGCTCTTCTCTGCTATAGATCTGGACCTTGCGGGAGTCCCCTGAACTGAATCATAGAATCTCATCTGGAGCTAGCCTAGATCTCACCCAGAGACTGAAATAACCTACCCCAAGATCTGTGGAACAGATGTATCACCGTCCATATCAATATGTAAGTTAAAATGATGGGTAATATGTAGCCTAAACCCACATAACAGCATTGAAAACATCTTATGAACCATTATTTGCCTCAATGAAATCCATCATAAGTGATTAAACAGAAAGCCAAGCTGAAAAACTTACCCCAACCTTTAAAGTATACTGAGATTTTAATGAAGTAACAATAAATAAGAACAGCTTTTAGATGTGACACAACCAAACACAGAACACAATTTCAGTATATTTTATATCATATGAAGTAAAAAATAGCAACCACACTTTTTTGTTACTCTTGTTTTTGTGTGTCCACCCCATGAGAACCATTCTGCAGAACTGATTTTTACCTACTGACTCATGAGATGAAGATTCAGGAACTTACTAATTTGTTATTAGTTAACAAAATAAAATTCCAAAAGCTAACTCGCTCTTTCAGGGGAAAAAAAAAAAAAACAAACCCGACAGCTCACAGAAAGGTTAGAGGAGATTGTGAGCTTCATGTGTGAAATTTTAAATAAAACCACTTCGTCCCAAGGTCTTGGTTTCTAAATGAACCAGTTGAGTAAGAGACAGGAGGACTTGACTATTGTTTTTCAATGTGTTAGAACTCATCAAAACTGCAAGGCCTGTGAGGACAGGATCTTATCCCTATTGCTCTCCCCCAGAGCATCTAGCACAGATGTCTATTACTAAACACTATACCGGATGTCCCATTTTCCTGTGGCACTAAAAAGCTCTTACCTTTTCTGTGATCCGTTCTATTTGTCGATTTTGAGCCTCAATCTCATTGCCTATGTCCAGGGCCATGTTTTTTAGATTTCCTAGGATACTGCCCACTTGAGTCAGGTTCTCTTCCATTTCATCTTCCCTGGCATCATTTGTTATACTATCACAAAAAGATAGTTAATTCAGTACTTTGGGGTGAATTAGAAATGGAGTGAGTCTGGATTTAGTTTTTATAAAAATAAGTAACCAAAATGACCTCAGCAAGTGTTAGACCCAACAGATGCAGGTTACCATTCTTGGGAAACATTCCATAGTAAAAATGGAAAGACTAATCCAAGAGAGCACAACATCTTAAAGCCATTTAAGATTAAGAAATAACTTTAGGATAGTGGTTTTTCAAAGTGTAATTCCCAGCATAACCTGAGAACTTGTTAGACATGAAAATATGCTAATTCTCACACTCCACTCCAGATCTCCTCAATCAGAGACTGGAAGGGACCCCAGCGATCTGTGTTTTAATAAACCTCCCAGGTGATTCTGATGCATGCTTAGGTCTAAAGAACTACTGCTCTAAAATAAGGGTTGCAAAATCCTGGCCCAAAGCCAAATCTGGCCTGCCTTCTGAATTTATAAATAAGGTTTTATTTGAACACAGCCATGCTCATTTGTTTATATATTGTTTATGGCTGCTTTTACCCTACAACAGAGTTGAGCAGTTGAGTAGTTGTGACTGAGACTGTATGGCCTGTAAAGTCTGAAATATTTACTATCTGACCTTTTACAGATATCCTTATAGGGATTTGGTCGACTCCTACTCTAGATGATACATTTTAAAACACATCTTCTTATTTACAGAAGTAAAACATGATTACTTGAATAATTTGGAAAGTACTTTACAAAGAAAAGTTAATCCATCCTTGAATGTCAACAATCCCAGTCACCATTTTGTCAGAAGGCAAATATTAAAATGGAATAAGGGACTTCGCTGGTGGTCCAGTGGTTAAGCCTCCCCGCTTCCACTGCAGGAGGCATGGGTTCGATCCCTGGTCGGGGAACTAAGATCCCACACACCCCCACATGCTGTGCGGCCAAAAAAAAATTTTTAAAAATCCAAAAAAAAAAAAGGAATAAATGCTATTTCTAATTAATAAGTTGGGGTTCATGCATAATTACACCCAGTCTCCAGAGAGAGCCATTCATTTAGGAAAAGAATAAAAATATCGGGAAGAGCTGGCATACCGTTTAATGTATCCGCCGCTGGCTGCTCCTGTGGTTGCTTGCTGAGGCTGACCATTTGTCACTCGGCCTGGCTGCTTAGATACTACATTGCTAGGAGAGTTGTCTCCACCATCTCTCCATGTTGCCTTATAGACTTTACTAGACTCAAAGTTCTTTGTCCTATATAAGAGTCAGGAGTGTAGAGAGATACCAAAAAGCAGGAGAGGGAGAAATGACATTATTAGTGCTTGTTACCTTAGGGATGCCCTAGCACCCTTAGAATAAAAGCTACATGCAGCTAGATCTAGATTATCTACACTATGCTCCATCACAATCTGGCATAGGAAAAAGATGAACTGTGTAAGCCCACTGACATTAAAAACATTTTTTTAAAGGTTAAACTACTTCCACCAAATCTTCACTGAGCAGTTAGCAAGTACCAAAATGTAATTATTTGATTTTTCAGGTTCTCCTAGCCTCTGACACTCTCCAGAAAAGGGGTTAATGGACACTAGGAAAAAAATTCCTTAGGAAAGGTGCTCTGGGATGCCTTAATGGTTCCTTGGAAGCATCTCAGATGTTGATGAAGTATGGAAGAGAAAGAAGGCTGAGTGGGCAGTACTTAGACCTCAGTTGCTCACTTACTTAAACTGTAGTAGTTTCAGCTAATCTGTTTTTTAAAGTTAGAATTGTGCATTAAATTTTTTAAAAAAGGTTTCTTTGGGGGGGGTGGTGATGTGATGAATTGGGAGATTGGGATTGACATATATACTCTAATATGTATAAAATGGATAACTAATAAGAACCTGCTGTATAAAAAAATAAAATTTTAAAAGTTATTATAAAAAAAATTTTTTTAAGAAAGGTTTCTTAAGAAACAAACATTATGAAGGAAAGGCAATGAATGAGTTCCTTGGCTACAATGGTACCAGTTACAAATCCTTTGGTTTAGGACTTTTTCATTTAAGAGTTTACTGTTCCACCTTAAAAAAAAAAAATGATCCTAAATCCAAGCCTCTTAAAAATAGAAGCATGTTTAGATTAACTGACATAGCTAAAAATCAGCCAAAGCCAGAATTTTACCGTGGGATTTACTATTTGAACTGGTATAAATGGCAAGAAAAAGAACCTAGTAAAATGACTTTTAAGTGGCTATTACAAAAAACACAAATAAAACTTTTTCTTACTGATTATTTGGCTAGGTAAAGTTTCCACTCACACAATTTTAGTTTTTGCTTTTCTATAAACAAAAACAAAGTAGTATATGGCTATAACATTGGTTTCTGATTTATTCCACATGATACATTAATGAGGAAGTTTTGAAATCGCAAAAGCAAAGGAGAGATTTTAGGAAAGCAGTGGCTCCTTTCTTAATAGGATCCTGTGAGGATTCATGTTTGGCAAACCTAGAATTGGATCTTAGACCTTAATCATCAATGCCACAGAAAGGGTACTATATGTTTAATAAATCAATCTATTTAGTTATTAATAAGCCATGTTAAATCCTTCCTGGAACAAGGTGGGATACACATTATTTAGTACTACTTTTTTTTTTTTTTTTTGCGGTACGCGGGCCTCTCACTACTGTGGCCTCTCCCGCTGCGGAGCACAGGCTCCGGACGCGCAGGCCCAGCTGCCATGGCTCACGGGCCCAGCCGCTCCGCGGCATGCGGGATCTTCCCGGACCGGGGCACGAACCCGTATCCCCTGCATCAGCAGGCGGACTCCCAACCACTGCGCCACCAGGGAAGCCCACTTTTTTTTTTTGGTTGCATCGGGTCTTAGTTGCGACACACAGGATCTTCGTTGAGGCATGCGGGAGCTTTCCTTGCAGTGCGCGGGCTTCTCTCTAGTTGTGGCGTGCAGGTTTTCTCTTCTCTAGTTGTGGAGCGCAGGCTCCAGGGCACGTGGGCTCTGTAGTTGTGGCACTCAGGTTCCAGAGTGTGTGGGCTCTGTAGTTTGCAGCACGCGGGTTCTCTAGTTGAGGCACACGAGCTCAGTAGTTGTGATGTGCACTTAATTGCCCCGTGGCATGTGGGGTCTTAGTTCCCTGACCAGGGATCGAACCTGCATCCCCTGCATTGGAAGGCAGATTCTTTACCACTGGACCACCAGGGAAGTCCCTGATATACACATTATTTAAATGAATATTTATAAATAATTTCTGTTTAGTAAAAAACCCATTTACGTGTATTCTTTGTTAATAAGATGGATCTCAGGCAAAATTCTGAAGCAGAGTAATAGCAACCAAGCAAAATAAACAACATATAAGTTTATCAGAAAGTTAACCAGAAATATTAATAGAAGTAATATAAGTGAGGCTTTTATCAGGATGTTAGACTGTAAAACAGGTCGAAGGTTGAAGGCTGGAATTCTAATGTCACTAAATAATAAGACACTGTGCTTCTGAGAGTCTTAGCACAGAAGCACTGGGTTGGGACAGACTTGTGGGCTCTTGGTCTAGTAAGGGATATACACATGCTCCAACCTCCTCAACCTTAAGAAATAATATTTGAAATTCCTTCAACTTCTGAGAATTCTTCCTTCAATTAGATATAAGGGGCATAAGATGCAAACGAATTGTTTTAACATGATATTGTGAATGAGGTTCAATTAAAGCATAGTTTATAAATAAATAATCAGACTGGTTATCAAACCCTTCTCCCTTTAAGAGGACTGGATCTTTGATGTTCTTCCAATATCAAGGGGAAAAGGTACAAAAAGCTGACTTGAATTTTCACATTTATTTTCAAATGGATTGGGGAAAAAAATCTCTGCACTACTTTTTCATGCAGTTTTGACATGCTCTGCATGTTTATAAAGCAGTGATTTTTATATGCTGTTGATTTCATATCTTCATCCTTGTGATAGTTCCATGTCTCTTTCAGCACCTCTACTCCAGGTAATAATGCCTTCTGCTTGCTCAAGGTCCTGCCACATGCTGTTACCCTGGAGCTTCTCCCACTGAGTTGTAAAACCCTTAAAGACACCTGTTTTTAAGGGCATTGTCAGACAGCTGAGTATCTAATAAAAACAACAATGGTTTTAATCTAATTTGTCTTCCTTCAAAGGGTCTTAAGTACTTTAAAAGGTAGTATTTCCTAAACTTGACTGAGCACCAAAGTGACCTGGATGATTCTGAATACACAGATGTGTATTTCAGGCTACATTCTGAAAATTCTACTTCAATTTTTGTCAGATGGAGCCTGGGAATCTTCTGTTGTAGCTATGATTTTATTTAAATTCAATAGATCATTTAGCTGCCCAACCAGGGAAGAGAAACACTGTTCTAAGAGACTTCCAATCTGTTGTAGAAGGAATATTTTAGATTACTATGGTAGTACACCTTAGTATTACTATATATTGGGACACTGAGGAATTAATCTGGAGGAAGCGAACGTATACACAAGGTTTTTTTTTTAAGCCACAAGATTTAGAGTAAATTGACTTGAATCCCAATCCTAGACCTGTCATTCAGTAGCTACAGAACCTTATGCAAACTTCCATCTCTGAGCATCTTTTCCTTATATGTAAAACTAAGATGATAACAGTACTTAATAAGTCACAGGGCTGTTGATAATAGATGTAAAATTGTTCTGTAAAGCATTAGACAATTTTTTTTTTCCAGTATGCGGGCCTCTCACTGCTGTGGCCTCTCCCGTTGCGGAGCACAGGCTCCGGACGCGCAGGCTCAGCGGCCACGGCTCACGGGCCCAGCCACTCCACGGCATGTGGGATCCTCCCGGACCGGGGCACGAACCCGTGTCCCCTGCATCGGCAGGCGGACTCTCAACCACTGCGCCACCAGGAAAGCCCAGACAAATATTTTTGTTCTTTGGTTTCAACTCAACCTGATCCTTAGTTAAAAGTTCACGTCTTTAATTGCACAGATTACCAATTGGCATGTTTATTCTTATAGCCCATTAACATTCCCTAGCTTTGAGATCTACAAGCAGCCGAATATAGTTGGAATATAGCTATATAAAAAGACATCTAGGCCAGGGTTGTTTCTGGTCTACAGTAAGAAAGAAATGGTTCTGATTTGCAACAGAACTCTTCTGCATAACAAAATTAACAGCCCCTTTGGGAAGAAATTAGATTTCATAATAAAATGCTTAAGCAAATTTGTGGTAGCTTTTAATGCAATTAAGAACTCCATCTAGAAAGTTAGATTTACCCCGACTGTCAGTTTTGAAGAGTTTAATAATCTTTAACTACTACATTTTTTCAGATAAATATCACATTCAAAAATGGCATGTTTGAAATAAGAATTTGAAATATCCCTTAAGAAGCTGCTATAAATATAGAAAACAAGTATCAGGATATGAACACAGTAACTTTAACAATTTCTTTTTTGAGTTTTGGTTGTCAACATTAGTACTAACTGAATAAAATAGCAAAAAGAAAGCCCAAGCTCGGGGGCGGAGGGGGGGAGAGAGGTGATCAGGTTATAGGAAAGAAGAAAAAGAAGGGCAAGAAACAAAGGGTAGAAATCAAACAATTTTCTAACATTTAACCATGGTATTCATAGTCCCCATAAAGATCCAAAATTAAAGAGTCAAACATTATAATAAACAGTAGGCTGACTAGAGGGTTAACTTCCATAAAAAAATTAAGTGCATTAATTCAATACGAAACCACAGCAAGCTAACACATGACATAATAGGTATTATGGAACAGATGATAATATATATAAAGAGGGTAAACCCTTATTTAAAAAAAGGAGATAACTAGATATGGCAACATTTTAAATTTATATCCCACCTTGTTCCAAATGGCATTTAAGATGACTTACATTGGCAGTTAATTCCTCAATTTGGTAGTGGCCTAAATCATGGGGAATCCAAAATCATTAGAAGCAATACTTCAAGAGAGGAAATATTGATTCTGGAACCAGAAAGGAGTAGGAAAACTTAACAGAAGAAAGGAAGCTGAAATCAAAGTCTATGTATTTAGCCTGAATTCCCTTACCTTTGATCAGAACTAGAATGCAGCAATTCTCTACAAAGATCAACCTATTTAAAACTTCTTAGGAAACTTTAGGGGTGTTTTTACTTTTATAATCTTAAGTGTTTTTTAGCAAAAACTTAGTATCAGAGCCATTAGTCAAAGGGTGGTATTATAAATTAAGATCCTTTCATCAATCCATCTTCTGGCAGACAGCACTCATCAAGAACAAATTCACTTTACATTACACACCACAGCACAGCTTTTAAGAGTCTCTACCATTCACAAAATCCATGCACATGCACAGAAAAGCCATTTGAAGCATCACCTTTAGATAGCAGGTTAACAGCCCAAATTGCGCCACAAGACTGCATCTTAAAGTTCCCTTTGATCAGTTACTGAGCTCAGCTTCTGATGTTAAATCTTCATTTTTAGTAAGCGTATTAGAAAGGAAGAGATTAGGTGAGAGAATGAAATGCAGAAAACAGTGAATGCCAATCAAACAGAACAGAAACAGGTTTAGTTTTCAAAGCATAATGCATTTAAATTCCTGCCTAGTTTCATAGAAACAACCAACATCTGAGAATCTAGATAAAAAGAAAAACATGAAAACTATTTAAACCAGAGCATACTTTGTTTTTCCTAAGAATGTCTGAATGATGATATTCTGTCCTAAAATTATGAAAATTAACATGAAGAGAAGGCAAATACTTTGTATCTCCAGTGAGTAGGATGGAGGAAGCACTCAAATATTGACTAAAATACAGTAATTCAATATTTATTTTAACTAATCAGAGTTGAATATTTACATTTTAATATGACATAAGATTCAATAGTATAAAACCTGTAGTACCAATTTTCAACTTCTCTAGTAAGTGGTCCAGAAATACCAACCTATCTTCAAACTATGTGCCGATATGTTTGACATTTTAAGCACAGAATGAAGAGAGGCAGGTTAAGACAGAGGAATACTTTGTCTGACAATGGTTAAACTGGGACATCAGGCAGTTTACTATTCTGAGACTTCCCATTTTAAACCTGCCTCTTTTTAAACTCGTTAATTAGAATTACAACTTATCAAAGTTACTGACAAAGGGACTTCCCTTGAGGTCCAGTGGTTAGGACTCGGCGCTTTCACTGCCAGGGGCCTGCGTTCGATCTCTGGTAGGGAACTAAGATCCCGCAAGCAGTGTGACGCGGCCAAAACAACAAAACAAAACAAAAAAACCCCAAACTTACTGACAAAGATATAGGATTTTTAATAAGGATCTGTTCTATTTTGCTTTTAGGATTCAAATAGTAGCAAGCTAAAAGAATGACATTTATTCACAATTTTAAAGTTTAATCCTGGTAGTCTGTTTTCAAATTCTAGTAGTCCTTTAAAAAGAATTAGCTAAAATTAAAATTCACTTCTAATATAGGGTTCTGTTAAGTGAAGCTATTTCCATGTCTTATTAGAAAAAGATCTGCTGATATGGCTTTAATGAATACTACTAAAAAAAGAAATCTCAAAGAACAAATCTACTCAAGACATTTTCTATATAGTAATACATCTAACAAAAGCAACAACAAAAAGGTTCATTCTTTTCTTGCCAGTCAAGCAATGTAGCATACAGTTAAAAACTAGGGCTCTGCCTGGTTTTGAATCTCAGCTCTTCCACTTGTTAGTGTAGCCTCCTTATGCCTCTGTTACCCCATATGTAAAATGGTGATAATAAGAGGAACTATCTCATATTAAGGGTATTGTAAGGATTAAATTTAAAGTGCTCAGGATAGTAAGAGCCTAAATTAATATACAGGCTCACAACTCTCATGCAAACCTTTGGATGTGAGACATTTTGAGCAGTACCACACAATCACATACATCAATATTTCTGCAGTGAAACAGATTAACATTTATGCTAAGTGTAATAAAGACTATTAAATAGCTTCAGTTCAGGTTACATCTCGTAGCCTAATTAATAAGTTGTGGCACTACATTCCGAAAAAAACAAACCTTTGGCTTTCAGAGTTTTTTAGATTTCTAAAAACTCTTAGAGTTTTTAGTCTTCTAAGAGACTGTGGACCTGAGTTGTTGTTACTAGTACCAGAATTAGTACTAGCTTTATACAGAAGACTAAGATACCGTCTCTGCCTTTCAGAAGCTCATGTTATGGCTATTTATATGATAAGCCTAACTGAAACACAGATTAGCAGATTAAGCTTAGAAAGATCACGCCCCTGGCAGGAGTGAAAATAGATAAAGCTGAGGACAAGAGATACCATAGAGGGCAAGGACTCAATGGTGTAAAGGAGAGATGGATGGAAGGGAGGCAATTAAAATCGGAATATTTAAAGTGAAACACTACTCTCTCCTCTTCAGAGAACAAGTGTTCTGTTATAGGAGCCCCTTGATTCCAACTGTTAAGTGCTTTCTTCTCTTGACCCACTAGGAAAGGGCTCTGCTGAGGTTAGAGGCTGACGACGGACTGCTTCAGGACCATACTCTACCTTCTCTCTCATACTGTCCAAGAAAATCCTGCCTATGCTTGTCTGGGTACGCAAAGAAAAATAAAATTAATACTTATGTAGCTCCATTTCCCACTTTTTATGATATCAGACCACCTTATTCCCTGCTCTTCCTACTCATCGGAGATAATTTGCTCTAGGTTCTAGGGAGGACTTCCTCTTCCTTGCTCTTCTCTTAATATGTATCTCAGTGAAGTTCATTTACTTTTTCCCCTGAACTCTTCCAAGAGGGTACATAGAACATAGGAGCAAGGTGCAAGTAAGTTTGCAAAACATAGTTAAAAAAAGAGTTTAGATTAAAAAAAATCTGTGCATTTCTAACTTGTTTGCTGAAAGTAATCTGCTAAACCCTGATTCGCAGGTCATAGTTATTAAAATATGCACTTTTGGAGAGTCAACCAAGGTCTAAATAGGTCAACAGACTTGTCTTTCTTAGCTTCTTATGCCCAAAACAAACACTAAAGTTGACCAACAAGTAATTTAACTCTATTTTCTCCAGTAGAAATGGCACAGAGAATGCTGTCACATGAAACACTTATCTGAAAGCATGACAGAGCAAAACCTCCTCCATTCCTAACTCCTTTGAGGAGTAAACAAATGCTGAGAGTCTGTAAACCTTCGTATCTCATTTTTGGTTTACCACACCAGCTGAGACAACTGGATGGAAGCAGTAATGCTTACAAAGCTCTTTAAAAATGAATACTCTCAGCAGAAAGGATAGTCACTCAATCTCCAGACAACGTCGTTTCAGCCAAAGGTAAAGTTCAAAGTTGCTTCATTAATGACTCCTCATCTTTGTCTGAATACATGTACTTTTGTCAACACCATGGAGTTTATATTATCCAAGATTAAGTAGAGAATTTAAATGTTAATAATAAAGTCACTAAAAAGAATGAATTCCTTTCTGTCAAGTATAATCTCATACACTATACACAAATAATTTGAAGACTTTTCATCTCCTAGTTTACTAGAGGCCTCAAATCTTCAGAGTCTTCTTTAATGTTTCCTTCTTCATGTTTGATATATAATCAGTTGATTTAACGTGAATTTTTTTGACTTACATTTTTCTCTCTAATCTTGATGATAAAGTTATACCCCACAGGCCTAGTTTACAAAAGGTTCCTAACTAGTTTCTTGGTGTGCGGTTATATACTCCACTCCAATCAATCAACCCCTTAGGCTGGCATTCAAAGTTCCTCTATTGCCTACTTATGTATTATTTTCCACTTCTCATCTATATGAATCATGTAGTACAGTTAAGTCAAGCTCCTCTGTAATCTTTATTTAAATTAAATCTTCCACAGGAAATGTCTTCCCACTTCTTTCATGTCCATCCAGATCTTTCTAGTCATTCAGAGCCCAACTCAAGTCCTATCTCTCCTATAAGATGGTCTCCAAACCAACCTTTATCAGTTCTATACCTTTAGCCTCAGTTGATATCACATGATCTAGCCCTAGATTTATATAGTTCTTACTTTTTGCTATTCTCTCTCATATAGCCAACCACATGGTAAGTCTTTTGAAGCCAGGATCCAAGTCCTTTATTCCCTTGACCATCCCTCATGTGCCTACCACAGAACATATATTTTATTAATTCTCCTTATTTGAAGGGAAAAGACACTAATTCTATCCTGCTCTGTATTACCCAGATGTATATTTCCTAACCTTTTCTTGTATTATTAAAAAATGAAATTGGGACTTGATCGAAAGATTGATCAAATTTAAGCGATGGTTTGCGGTGAACATGCCCATTTATACAAAAAGTTTGATCTGACTGAAGGAGAAACAGCTTCACTTGATCTAACAAAGTTCCTTATTTAGGCCCTGTCATACTTATTGGGAAGTGGGGAGGGGTGTGCTCTCACTTTAGATTTATTTGAAAAAGGTCTTGATTTATCAACTCACCTATTACAGGGGCATACACAAAGGCCACAGCACTTGTTTAGTTCTGTTAAAGTCTTCTCTGCTTCTCTCATGTCTTTGTTTATTTGGTCCATGCCTTCTTCTACGCGTTTTAGTTGTTCTAAGAATAAGTTGTGGAAGTTACATTTTGTGTTACATTCACGGTGCCAACCAGAAAACGCCATTATGATGGAACAGCAAAAACTTTAACCTCGAATCCACCAATAACCCATCACAGTGACTGTATCAGGGCCAGATGGTATTACAGACTGTCCAGAATGAAAATAGTCTTTCACATACTGATCCTGGGGCACCTGGCCTCTGACTGTGGAAAGATTTGTTCTAAAGAAATTTGTATAATAGGAGCATGTGAGGATTGGTTTAGACATCACTTCTGCAACCAAATTAAGTGTACTGTGACTAGACCAGATCCCCAGCATTTCTATTATTGGATAGGCTCAAAACCTGAAGGCTGTCATAAGACTGATAAAAACTAGACCAGATTGCTCAGAGCCAAATCAAACAGAATGTTTCCAAGCCTGCCTGAATCTGACCTATTTAAGGACTTAACTTGATTTCTGAAAATGATGCAAAAATATCATAATGTCTAGTTCATGTACGACCAATACACACAATAAGCCCTGCTACATAATAAATACTTGGTATACAATGGGGTATTGTGCCCCCACCTCAAATAGGCAACAAACATGATATAATTCAAATCAGCAGAAAAGAAGTAAAATGTCACTCTTATCTTACAAAGGGAAGGTACTCCCAAAGGCTTAATTAATTTTATACACGGCTGATTTGAAAAGGCTTTCTGGCATCCTAAATCAAATCAAGAATTTCTGCCAATGACTGCAACTCACCCCCTTGTTCATCCAGCGTAGTGATAGTCTTGATTCCTGCATCCTGAGACTAAAAGAAGGGGAAAACGCTGAGAGCACAGCAAAATAAAAACAAAACAGAAACAGAACCTACAAAGTCTGAAAAACAGCAAGAGAGAATCATTAGAAACTTAAGTTTCTCAGAGGACTAGAGCTACAGAGGAAACTAATCTCCCCAAACCAACACACTTTAACATATTAACCCCCCAAAATAAGTCGCAGACTCATGGTGAATTGTCTTCCTTGTCATATTCCAATACTATCAATTAGAAAAACAAAAAAGGCCCATTACTGCATGGTTTGACCATTTCAGCAATTGCTGGTTTCAAATAATAAAGCTTATTGATACAATACCCTTCTGATTCTTAACAGTAATTCCAGCCGGTGCTATCAGAACCCCTTCTATACAGTTACTATACTTAACTTGATGATTAAACACCTTCTTACCTCAATGGCTAAACCCAGGATTCTCCTTGTACTTTCCAGAGACTAGGAAAAAACACAGAGTTTCAGCATTCTACAACAATTCCCGCCCCCCCGCCGCCCAAAATCTGAACACAGGCCATATTCATAATGCTACTCTATTTTTAAAGATTGCCAGCCCATCCACCTCTCCCTTTAAAACAAAAAAAGAAAGCTTATTACTATAATTTTGGTTACTTTCTTCCTACCAGATGGTCCTTAAGAGAAAATTTGGAAGGTGAAGTTAATGGGATTTATAAAAAATTTAATGTAAGCAGAAATCTAGGTATATTACACAGATATTAGAAAATTCTGTTAAAATTAAATGTCAGAATTCCTCGAATCTAGAATATCTTTGTTGTAAGTAACTCTTCAGTAATGACTAAAAAAAAACAAAAAAAACATACAAATTGTTTTCACTTATTTAGCTTTTTGATGAGTTGAAAAAATAAGGAGCTAGTAATGGCGCTCTAGAGCAAATGCATTCTTTGATATAAAGAGACTAGGAAGAAGCCAAAATGGTCTTCTAAGAAGGTCCTCTCATCCTTCCACTGTGAAAACTGAAAGAGAATTATTACTTATTCCAAGTAAAACCTTTACCTCATCAGTAACCTGGTTAGCCCTCAGCTGAATTTCTTCTGCTGACAGATTATCCATGATGAATTAAAACTTGATAGGTGGAGAAACTGAAATGTGGATATTCTGGAAGAATAAGGACACAAAAAACAAGTTTGTTTGAGCAAAGAGTGTATATTTATGGAATTTAGGATACTTGGAAAACACGGTAAAATAGCCTATCTTTATCCCTATCTATTTATCTGTCTATCTATCTATCTACCTATCTATCTATATTTCAGGTGAAGAAATTAAGGCTGAGAGATGGTAAGTAAATGCTTAAATGCTAGTTATTACCAGAGGTGAAACTAAAACTCAGGTTTCAGGACTTCCAGTGAAGCACTGTTTCTAATAGGAAAGTGGTCCTTCTACTTTGAGAAGGAAGGCATTACTAGAAGACAAGCTTCAAGAAACTATTAAAATGAATTCCTGGTTGTACAATGTTCTTTGTACATTGTCTGAATATGGAAAAGCAATAAGGTGAAGAAGTTGAAGTTAGGTGGTGTTCCATTAGTAAAGTAACAAATTCAAAGTCCTGTGCCTGCAAAGCACAGGAAACATTCTAAAAATGTGCCAGTTGTCCAGGCTACTCATTGGAAAAAATGAAATACTTTCATTCTTAACAAGAAAAGGATAATGCTGATACAGAGAGCTCAGAAAAGACCTAGTTTTTATTAAGAGTAGACTCTCCCTGGGCTTCCCTGGTGGCGCAGTGGTTGAGAGTCCGCCTGCCGATGCAGGGGACTCGGGTTCGTGCCCCGGTCCGGGAGGATCCCACATGCCATGGAGTGGCTGGGCCCGTGAGCCATGGCCGCTGAGCCTGCGCGTCCGGAGCCTGTGCTCCGCAACGGGAGAGGCCACGGCAGTGAGAGGCCCGCGTACCGCAAAAAAAAAAAAAAGAGTAGACTCTCCCTTTCCGATTACTGTATGGTCTGTTATTTTAGTAAAGTCCCTAAGAAACTGTACAATTATTCTTCTATACTTAGTAACTTAGTAACTCATAGTAACTCAGGAATTGATCTCACAGACATTCAAACTGAAACATAAAACTTTTAATAGGTGAAGATTCCAAGAGTCCTGCCCTCTAATATTAACAGCGATACACTGTTGTATAGTATTCTTCTTTGAGCAGTCATGTGGAGTAATAAGCACTGTGTGACTTACCTAGGTTGTTTTCTTTTTATTACATTTGCTAGCTTCGTTATTAAAAATTTGAAAACCAAAGCCCTTTGTCAATGACACATATAAAATTGTGGTTCACATTCTGGATTTATCCCCAGGGGACATGTGGCAATATCTGGAGAATTTTTTGATTGCCAGGAGTTGTGGGGGGGGTAAGGAGGAGTAATGTTACTGGCATCTAGTTGGTAGAGGCCAGGGATACTGCTAAACCTCCTATAATGCTCCTTGGGACAGTCCCACAACAAGAATTATCTGGCCCAAAATGTCAAAGTGCTCAGGTTGAGAAATCCTGCCATGGAGTACACTCACTGACGAGCAGGGAACTTTGTTAACTTCTTAGTACTGAACACTTGGAGGGAAAGGATTTTATTATATCTTTGTACCTCTAACACCTAACAGGATATGACAGTTCGTACCCCAGTAAATGTGTGCTGAATGAACAAATAAGTAGAAAAACAAGATGTACGCTCATTTAAGTGGATCTTAGAAACAAAGCTACATGTAATAGTAGCACAAAGCCTTCAAATAAACACTAGAACCACAAACCAAAAATTGCCATTACATGTGTATGATTTAGAATGGCCTGCTGGTCACATACAGATATTTTTAGTCACATCCGTAGCTAACCAACACTTTTATTAGAACCATCTAAACAAAAAGCGACAATATCCCATTCCTAGGACAGGAAGGCATTACATTTAGAGCCTTGTTTATAATTCTACTGTCATTGCTAACCATTTCAGGATTTAATTAAGATTTTGAGCCTTGATTAAAGACATTAATGCTCATAAAACTACTGTTATTAAAATTATTAAATTGCCAAAAGTTGCAAATTTAATCTCATAGCTTGTATGCCATAGTAGGACTGTGGCTCTGCCAAAAGGTTCATATACTAAGATACATAATCAAGATATAAAGCCCTCTCTTAAATTAAGAACTGATCATTCATTAGATGTAAGCATAAACAGAACCGCATGCTTTATTACCTTGCTAACTGTTTATGAGACTTTAGCTTTAATCACACATATGATTATGCTACAGTTTCTCTTCTGTCAATCTTTCATAGTTGTAATTATAAAAAGAAAAGGAAGTTGCTTTGTACCCTCCCACCGTTTTTGTATGCTTTTCCTTTCTATAATATCCCCATCTGCCTGCCCAGGCAGTCTCATGCTTTCCCACACAAGGTTCCTTTCAAAGCCTGTCCTTCCTAGGCGGTACGCTCCAAAGTTATCTGTCCCTCTCACGTGAAACTCCTAAATGCCCCATAGAGCAGAAAGTGTTAAGAAAAGCAATACACACTAATCAGTTAGTATCTGGAAATGACATCCCGATTAGGTTTTCCGATATAGTATACTATGGGTAGGAAGATATTTTGGGAGTAAGGAAGCTCAGATCTCTCAAACTGTATAATTTTGTAATTCTACTCCTAGAAGTGATTCTTGGCAATTACAAGTCAATATTTGTTATTCTCCTAGTAAATATGAACAAAACTCCATGTAGGTTCAAAGAGAGGCTTGAATGTAAAACTGACCTCTGTCAAACTTAAAGATTCCAAGAGTCCTTGCCTTTAATTATCAAAAAGGCAGATTAAAAAAAAAAAAGGCAGATATAGCTGGGAAGCAGATGTGAAGAGTCACTCCTGGCATAGCAGTGGTGCCATGTTTTAGGACACACCTTTTAAGTGAACTCAAAGTGCTGCCTAGTACTTCTTTTTTTCCCTCCCTGAGCAGATGACACACAAACAAGAAACAGACTTCTGTAAAGTTCTCACATGTTTGGCATGCTGATATCAGGACAGAGCTGCCTAAGACTTCTCTACTCTGGATTTTTGAGGATGTTGAGCACATTATTATAGTAAATGGGAGTAAGTGAGACAAAGCAGAATTGTAAGGGGAAGGCCAAAGAGAGACAAAGAATAATACTCCCTAGGCTATTTTAGCCTTTACTAAACTGCTCAGAAGTGTCAGGCAGGGTGCAAGCTAGAACTAGCTATATAGCTTTACTCGTATTTATTATCTCCAGAAGTTTTTCTCATGCAGTCAGGAAAGGCTATCCAGAATGGTAGAGTAAAGAGAATTAGAGAAGGGGCAGGGAAGGAAAAATGAAACATCACTTGACACAAAGATTCCATTAAACTTACTTTTCTTAGGTATAACCCAATAGATTAAATATCTGTGTCATTTTCCCAATGCTCCTGGGAACTTACGCTACATGTGTGCCTTTGAGATGAAAATGCAAGATTTTTCTCATTGCCTTTACACCCTGTTTCCCTTACTATGGTTCATTTGGGCTTACTAGCAGACTCCTAGTTATCTTTCTTAATTTCTTTTCTATTATAAACCTTGGGGGGAGAGGGGAGGAAGAAATGCTCACTGAGCATGTACTATGTATCATATAACCATCTAAGTTATTTATATATGTCATTATGTCTGTTATACCACTTTATAGGTGGGGAAACTAAGGCTCAGTTTAAGTAAGTAATTTGCCCAAGGTGACTGAGTAAAGAGCAGATTTATTATTCAAGGCTGGATCAACTCTGAAACCAAGGCTAGCTCATGGTCTGGTAAATAGTCTTACTGTTGGATGTACCACCCCTTAATAAGATATGAGAACTGTTGAATATAAGAATATAGGCTAAGCACTCTACCTGATGGCTCATTTCAAAATTTCAGATACTTTCTATAGTAATACCATGAAATCTTATGTCTTCCACAGACTCAAAGATGGTTAAACTGAAGGAAGAACTAGAAAGACCAGAGTAATCATGGCTTTCATCTGTTTTATAATAATTTAGAACCTGAAAAATATCTACATTAATTTAGAAAATGAAAATAATACTACTGGGAAGAAGGAATACAAAGTAAAAAGGACTCAGAACTTAATCAACAGGAGATCCACATGTCTTCATTGATAAAAATGGAGGGATACTCAGGAAGTAATGAAGAAATAGCACTTTAAATCACTGATACCTGAAAAGACCAATATAAGAATGATTTTATAAAGTATTAACTCAATTTATACTGGAAGGCAAGGATTTTGCATTAAAATATTCTACCATTAGTTTCCTGCCTATTCCTTCTCTTAAAACATAGTTAATCACAATGTAAGTTGCTCTATGAGTTACACTCATACAGTTATTACTGTACTCTTTAACAGTTTGATAAAATGTGCAATTCTCTTTGGTATATTTTGATTAGACTTTCATGGTAACTAATGTATTTACAACAAGTAGAAACTTCTGTTCAGAGCAGGCTAGCACAGTGGTGAGTAGTGGGAGCTCCAGCATCCAAATTCTGGCCTCAAAAATGTATTTGTTGTGTGACCCTGGGCAAGCCACCTATCCCCACTAAAGTTCAGTGTCTGCATTTGTAAGATAGAGGTAACAGATCTATTTCAAAGGCTTTTTTGGTGAAGATTAAAAAAGATGATCCATACAAAGTGCTTAGCACAGTGCCTGAAGCATAGCTGGTATTCAAGTGTTAGCCATTATTTCAATATCATTAGGGAAGCAGAAATAGTAGGCAAAACAAAAGTAAAGTAACAATGTTAAATACGAGTGATATCAATGTAAATGCAACTGAAAATAATCGCTACTAATTAACTGTTCCATCTGAAGACTAAATTTGAATATTAAAGTTGATGATACTGTATAGGCTATACTATTTTCATGCCAGTCATGAGGCCTGTGGTTCTCCCACTTAATCAATCAGCTCATGGAAGTGATGCTGGTCCATGAAGGTTACCTTTCAGTGCTGGTTAATTAAACTTCACTGCTTCTTATCAAAAAAAAAAAAATCCATCAAGATGGAGAACTAAACCAAGTTTCCGGTTGATAGATACTTAGCTAGACAAATATATATACCTTTGCATGTCTAAAAAATTAAAGACTGACCTTAAATGATTC